AAAAAAGAGAAGAAGAAGACAGCGGGGTGAAAGGAGGCGAGGAAGGTGAAGAAGAAGAAGAGGGTTGGCGAGGAAGAAGGGCCGGCAGCCATAGCTGACCGGAGGGTTGACCAAGAGGGTTGACCGGAGGTGTTGGCCGGCCGTTACCAGAGTTGACTGGGGTTGACTGGGGTTGACCGGGGGTCATAGCGGCATTGACCGGCGTTGACCAAGGCATTGACCAAGACTTTGACCAAGCTGGAGTTGGTAACATCTCGCCAAGCTGAGTCAAGTCAGTCTGTCTATTCTTTCTGCATTGAGTCTCTTCTGTCCTAGGTGATAGTACGCTGTGGATGAAGGATAGAGCCTGCTGACCACTCCCCTACCGGATTTAGTAGGGCTGAGACTGTGGCTGATCCAACTTTCCAGGGGGGCATAACCCTCCCAAGGACCGGTGCTGACCGGCTGGAAACGGTTGGTAGGGCACAGTGGGCCTGAAAGACTGAGTTGCGGGTTGAAACACAGGCAGTCTTTAAGTGTTGAGGGCCTGTTTGAACCACTCCCCTACAGGACCAAGTAAGGCCGAGGATCTGTGTCTGACGACTCGACTGTCCCGGGGGATGCGAACCCTCCCAAGGACTGGTACAGACCGGCAGGCTGCTCGGTGTGGCACAGTAGGCCGGAAAGGCTGAGTTGTGGGCTGAAGCAGAACCAAGCTGATCACGTCGTCCTGTCTGCGACGTTAAAGAATTCTTGCGGAGTTACGGGGGATCTCCTTAAATGCCTCCAGATCAGCCACTGGTTCAGTAGTGACAGCCATAGTTAGGTCTAGGCTAGAGACCATAGTTGGCAGGATCCCTGTCAGGGTTCTGTGAGTCATAGATTGAGTTAGCAGGTTTGTCAGTCAGGGGTTAGAGTCAAAGTTGTGAGGAGTGGAATCATTCTGATTGTGCACCTATCACCATGGTGGACCTACGTAGTGGGAAGAGCACTAGTCCCTACACCCCTGAGCAGCAAGAGAAAATGGCTGCCTTAGTGAAAGAGAATAGAGAGAGAAAGGAGCGCGAGAAGCAAGCTAAGTTGAAGGCTATCGCAGAGGAACAGGCGCCGAAGATGAAGGAATTGTAGAAGGAGATGGAGAAAAGGAAGAAGGTTGCTGAAGAAGAAGCGGCAGCAGAAGAAGAGAATGAGAGGATGAGAATTGAGAGTAGAGAAGGGAGTAGTGACACGAAGGAGGATAAAGATGCAGAGATGGAGAAGAAAATAAGTGAGTGGGTTGCTAACTTATCGTTGGGTGAATATGAGGAGGCACAGATGTATGTGCCATAGGAAGAGGAGGCGTTTGCGAGGACCCTCGCAGTGATTGAGGACCCCCTTGAACGTCAAGAAGCCGAGGAGGAGAAGAGACTGGAATGGAAGTTGAGGATGAAGAGGGAGAAGAAGAGAAGAAGGGAGGAAGCTAATAGGTTGACCACAGAAGTGGAAAAGATGCGGACATTTGGACAGGAAGTCCAGGCACAAACAGATGTTTCTGCCAAAATGGACAAGATGTTGGGATACTTAGAGGTGTTGAGTGAGGTCTGGTTAGAGGAACGGCAAGCCAATCAGGGCCAAGACATCACCCTGAAGGCCATGCGGTCAGGGTTTAGAGAGTTTGCGCGCGAGATCGTCACCCACATTGGGGGCGAAGTCAGGCAACTGAGGGATAACCTAGGGAAGTATTGCGAGGGCGCCATCGAGGGTGCCAAGGGTATAGCTGTTGTAGAGGGCGAGGGCAGACCCCGTAAAGAGCCTGTCAAGATTAAGTTCCCAGACGCGTACGGGGGAAAGAAGGAGGAGAACTTTGACAACTGGGAGGCCAGTGTCAACAGTTACGTTTATTTGCAGCATATCCTAACAGAGGAGCAAGTCCTCGTGGCCTTCCAGGCCCTCAAGGATGAAGCGGCTAGTTTCGCCAGGTCCCTTGCGCGCGCAGCCGGTTGTGAAAACAACCTGGTTGCATACTCAAAAGTCACCCCCCTTCCTCAATTCCTTAAACTCCTGAAGGAGCGATTTGCTGACCCAACGAGAGGCGTTCGCGCCTATGATAAACTGCAAACGATCCACTCACGACAGTGGAGGAGTGCAAGGGCACTCAAGGGTACCATGGACGACTTGGTAGCCGTCCCGGACCACGGGGTTACTGAACCCCAACTGGTCCAGCTGTTTTATCGTRCCATGCYAGAGCCCCTGAGGGGGCACTTTTTTGACAAGTCTCAAYAGGYCGGGATCACATATGATGTGTTGAGTAGGGAGGTGGTCCTGTATGAGTCAAAGTCTATGCCAGTCACCACTTTCTGGCATAAGGACCTAGAGAAGGGGAAGAAGTGGAAGGATCGTACCATCTCTGGCCAAGTCAAGGCCAAGGATCACTTGATCCTGACGTTAGAGGAAGGTGGTACAGACGAGGTCCTGTATGATCAGATTGAGTGGGGCCTAGGGGAGGAGGACAGTAGTGTAGGGCATGGGAGGTCTTACGCTGCTGTCGCGGTTGGAGGGAGGCCGCAAGGTAGAGGAGGAGGCCAGGGCCAAAGGGGCCAGGCCATGGGAGGTCGAGGACCGGGCGCACAGGGGGTTGGCAGCCAAGGAAACCGCCAAGCGGGAGGTAGGGGTCAAGGTCCCCCGCCAAATCGCCAGGGTAATCGGTCCCCACAGAGACAAGGTGGAAGGGCACCTGAAGGAGGATGGCACCCAGGCTTGCCACAGGGCAGGCCCTGGGAAGACTTAGGCTTGGACCAGGGGTTATGGCAGGAACGCGTGAACCTAGGTCAGTGCGTGTTTTGTGCTGACCCGGCTCACGTAACAAAATTTTGTCCAAAGTATAGACAGGCCCGTTGGGCTGCCCAGCAGTCAAAAGGCAGCCGCCAGTAGGGGTCGCAACTGCCCCTACTTCAAGGCCATGTGGAGAAGTGAGCGCGCGCGAACAGGATACTCCCAACCCACATGAACTTATGGCAGAGGTTGCAGGCCCGTGCCTAGCTAACTGTCCAGAAACCGCCTGTGTTAGCGTCTCTTCAGGCACGTCCCTCACAGGTGTGGCAGAAGAGTTGAAGGAGAGAATGCCAGCCTGGGCCAAGATGAAGAAAGAGAGTAAAGGACAACTGATTTTGGTAGATGTAGAAGTTTTTAGAAGCAGAGTAGGGGCCCTCATAGACTCAGGGGCCACCTGCAGTTATATTAGCCATAGGGCGCTGAAAAAGCTGAAGCTAGGATTAAAAGTCCAGAAGTTGGCAGACCCCATAGTCAGTGTCCTCGCAGACAACCGCACCATGCATGTTGAGGACTATGTAGAGGGAGTCCAGGCGTACTTTCGCCAAGAGAAGGATGGGAAGGTGGAGAAAGTTCTCCATTCCCTGACTCTCCTCGTACAGGATGACCTTCCCTTCGACGTGGTATTGGGAATGGATTGGGGAGCGGCAGCCGGGGCCACACTCCATTTGAGGGAGCATGAGTGTAGGCTCCCCAGTCCGTCAGGTGAGGTTAAGACTGGCCACCTATTTCATGGGTCAGGTGTAGACAACACGCTGGCACATTGCTGTCTAAGTGCTCCCGCGTTCGCGCGATTAGTGAAAAAGGAGCAATTAGAGGAGCAGGTCTTTGTATAGTATGTTAGACCTGTCACCGAGGGCATGGAAGAGAAGTTCCACGGATCCAACCATAGCCAAGTTGCTCGAAGAGTTCAAAGACTTGACCGAGTCGCCGACAGGAGTAGTGCCGCGACCCATCCAGCACAGGATAGAACCTGGCAGTAGAACTCCTAAGGGTGCAGTTCACAGAGTTAGAGGAGCTGCGCAAGCAATTAGACGAGCTCCTCGAGAAAGGTTGGATCAGGCCCAGTTTGTCTCCTTTTGAAGCACCTGTTTTGTTTGTCCCCAAGAAGGAAGGAGAGTTGAGAATGTGTATAAACTATAGGGGTTTGAACGCGATTACTGTGAAGAATGTTGAGCCACTGCCCAGGATAAACGATCTTCTAGATCGGGTGCAGGGTTGTAAGTATTTCACTAAGATTGATTTGAAATCCGGTTATCATCAGATAGAAGTCCATCTGATGATCAGTACAAAACTGCCTTCCGGACTCGATATGGGCATTATGAGTTCATAGTGATGCCCTTTGGACTAACCAACATGCCAGCTACATTTCAGCGTTGTATGAATGATCTATTTAGACCCTGCTTAGACAAGTTTGTAGTGGTTTATTTAGATGATACCTTAGTTTTTAGTAAGACCCTCCAGGAGCATCAGGGTCATCCGAGGCAGGTCTTGGAGAAGCTACGAGAGGCTAACTGCAAGATCAACGCGAAGAAGTGCGAGTGGGCCAAGACGCAAGTCCTGTACTTGGGCCACATATTAGACAGAGATGGCATTAAGCCAGAGGACAACAAAATTGCGGCGACTAGAGATTGGCCGACGCCCCGCACATTGACTGAGTTGCGGTCGTTCCTAGGACTAGCTAACTACTATAGAAAGTTCGTGAGGAACTTCTCAACTATCGCCACTCCCTTACGCAGGTTGCTTAAAAAGGAGGCAATCTGGCAGTGGGACAAAGATTGTACGTCTGCGCTCAAGAAGTTAAAGCGCGCGTTGATAGAGTACCCTGTCCTCAAAGTAGCCGATCCGTCTTTGCCATTTGTCGTTACCACGAACGTAAGTCAGTATGGGATAGGCGCTGTATTACAGCAAGATGACGGCAATGGCTATAGACCCGTAGAGTTCATGTCAGCGAGGATGCCCTGTGAGAAGGTCGCTACCTCCACGTACGAGAGAGAACTCTACGCTCTCAGGCAGGCTTTAGACCATTGGAAGCATTACCTGCTTGGGAGGCACTTTAAAGTGTATTCGACCGATGTAACGCTTAGATGGTTAAAGACTCAGGCCAAGATGACACCTAAGTTGACTAGGTGGGCCGCAAAGATAGACCAATTCGACCTCGAGCTCAAGCCAGTGAAGGGCAAGTACAACGTAGTTGCGGATGCTCTGAGTAGGAGATCAGACTACTTTGGAGCCGTAGTTCACTATTTGGATATAGGGAGAGACCTGCAGGAGAAAGTGAAGCAAGCGTATGCACAGGACCCTATCTATAGCGACCTCCTAAAGAGAGTTAGGGAGGCCCTAGAGACTGAACCAGATTACCGCACTACAGGGGGGGTTGTTGTTTGAGAAGACTAATGTGTTTGATCGCCTGTGCGTTCCCAACAGCGAAGAGATCCGTAGTTTAATCTTAGGGGAATGCCACGATACTGAGGGACATTTCGGTTGGCAAAAGACATTAGCCAATCTCATGCGTGCATATACCTGGCCAGGAATGAAGAATGATTGCGTAGAGTATGTCCGCATTTGTAAAGTATGGCAGCGTAACAAGACTACTACACGCGCACCCCTTGGTCTTCTCAGACCCTTGCCTATTCCGGATCAGCCGGGAGACTCAGTGTCCATAGTCTTCATGGACACCCAAGTCAAGAGCAGACAAGTCATGGTCGTAGTTGACCGCTTTAGTAAATACGCAGTTTTTGTTTCTTTGCCTTCCAAGGCACGTACAGACTTAGTGATACAGAAGTTCTTTGACTTTTGGGTTCGTGAGAATGGAATCCATTGTCAATAGTCAGCGATAGAGATAGTCGCCTTACCAGCCAGAACTGTCAAGAACTCATGAGAGTGTACGGATCCAAGTTGTTAATGTCATCAGGCCGTCATCCAGAGACCAACATTAGACCAGATCAGATCAACTGGGATGAGATGTTGCCTAAGGTAGCTAGTGCCTACAACAACAGCGTACATCTATCCACCTGCCGCACTCCCAATGAGCTGCACAAGTCCCTTAGACCGTGCAGACCGTTCGAAGGATTGAACCGGGATCAGATTCACAGACTACCGCCCGGTACCAGGGAATTTGTGGTACAACACGAGAAAGAATTAGCAACTGTTGTTGAGAATCTCAGAAAGGCCCAGCGTAGAATGATAGAGCAAGTTAATAAGCACCGTCGACCATCGCAGTTTCAGGTAGGCGACTTAGTCTGGGTCAAGGCAAAGGAGTTTGCGCCTGAAGAAAACATCTCGCAGAAGTTACTGCCTGCATATAGAGGACCGTGGCCGGTTCTAGAAGTCAAGGGCGGAGAGGATGGACCATCATACACTATAGAGATCCCAGTACACCTCCACACATATCCTGTGTTCCATGCTTCAAAGTTGTTGCCATGTGTTACAAGCCAACAGTTCCCTTCTAGAAGATCCATGATCCCTCCAGATATGGATGGGAGCTATGACATAGAGGGCATTGTAGAGGAGGATGTGTTTAGAACAGGAGGTCGAGGTCGTCCTCAGAAACAGTATAAGGTCCGCTTTGCATATCAGGAACCGGAGGATGACCGCTGGTTTACAAGATCAGAACTTTTAGAGACAGCTCCCGATATAGTCAGAGCCTACGAAAGAGAACAGAAAGGTAAAGGTCCTGCCTTGGACTGAATTCTTCTCGGAGGACCTCGAATTTAGGACGGCGGGAGTGAAACGGCATTCACCAGTTAGTAGTAGCTTGTAGCGGACCTCTATTTGGCCTGTGAGACCAGCCCCTTGGCCTGTCCTCACAGACCTGTGTTTTATTCGGGGCAGTCCAGTCCAGGCCGGTACCTCTGTCGGTACCAGCCAGTTCAGTCCAGTACCGTCAGTCCGCTGGGGTATACCCCAGCCATTGTCTGTTTTCGAGATGATTCTTCACTTGCACATTTTTGGAGTACGTGCGTGGAGTCTCGCGTGGGAGCTGCGTTGTGCATCTTGCTTCCCCCCTTCTTCCTCCATCTCCGTCTCTATCATTATCGGAGCACCACACCTGGTGGGTCCGCTACATTGGTATCGGAGCGGGAACGGTCCCCGCTCCCACCCACCACCCCGCACAGCAGCGAAAACAGCCCAACCCGACAATAGGGTTTTTCGGGCTGTTTTCATGGCGTTTTCAGCCAAACGGACGGGAAAAAGCAGGCGCAGCAGGAGGTGACACGTGGCCGAAAAAGCAGGCGCCACCACGACCGCGTGCGCGCAAGCGCCAAGGCCAAGGAGGCCGCACGCGCCCACGCTGCCCCGCGCCGCTCTGCTCCGCCCCCGGATTCATATTATCAAGATCCGGGAGTTTTGCTGCTGCTGGAGTTTGAACCCAGGCGCCTGCTAGGCCATGCGCGTGTGTAAGCACCCTGATAACACACTCGCCACAAAGTGTAAATGTCTCTTTAGCACGGCAACCTCGTGTTGAAGAGGTGCTGGCTATTTACCCCCCCCCCCCCCCTCGTGGCTGCTGCTGCCTGTGCACGTGGCCACCTGTAGTGCCACGTGGCACTTTGCTGTGGACTGAAGACCCCCCTGGTTAGGGGGCTGCACCACAGCATTATTAGTATTATTTTTTTTACTATTTCTCTACTGCTGCAGCAGCAGCTTTGCAGCAGCTCAAGATTTCCCCCTGGCTAGGGGGCTGTGTGACTGTGGCAGTAGGGTGGCTGATCAAGATCTCAGCCAACCCTAGATCATCATCATCATCCATCAGGGTATGCTCACACAACACACCCTGGATCCGCAGTGCTGCAACTAGGGGCTGATCAAGATCTCAGCCCCCCTACATCCTCCAGTTGGTTGGCTGCAGCGAAGGCCAAGACCCTCCTGGTCTTGGTATACCTTGTGCCCCTGGAGACACCAAGGGCCAGGTATCATCTCTCTCCCCTTTTCTTTTCCCCACCTTCCACTGCCTCTCTCCCCTCCTCTTTTTACCTTCCCCACCCCACCTTTTCTCCCACTAACCACTATCTTGCCGTCTTTTCTTCATTTCTTTTCTTTTCTGTCCTCCTCCTTTCCTCTTAGTTTCTTGATCACTCTCCATCTTTCCCCATCCTCTTTCTCTCCCATTCTCTCACCTTCCTCTTCCCCAACTGCCACCACATCATCCCCCCACCTTCCACTTCCATCTTTTTCCCTCTCCCACATATTTCTTTCTTCTCTCCATCACTTTCTCATCCCTCCTTCCCCCCCTACTTCGAATTTTTCTGTTTTTCTTTTTTTCTATCTCCCTTTTGATTTATATTTTCTCTTTTTCCAAAAAATCGAATTATCTTCTTCCCCACCTTCTTTTCTCATTTTCTGATTTATTTCATTTATTTTTTTATTTATTCTGAAAATTCGATTTTCTTTACGGCAACCCTAAATCTGATTAGGTGTTAAAGCACTAGTAACTCTGCCAGTGTTGGGAAATTAGGGAAAACTGCAGCGCCTGAATTTTCGGAGGTCAGGCCCGACGACGACTGCCGTTGATAAATCTGATCGGCGGCCGTCGTTTCGTTTCGGCCGCTGCAAAGGTCGGACGCGTACCCGAGGCCCGCTATTTTTCCCAGCGTCCCAGGTATTGGTGGTTTGTCTTTCTTGCTTTCGGCACACGTTTTGACCCCATGGGGGTAACGAAGTGCTGTCGGAATTTTCTGATTTTCTCTTACTTAGTCTTTTTCAGCACACTTTGACCCCACGAGGGTAACGAAATGCTGCCGAATTTCTTGACAAATCAGATACTTCATTTCTGCTCACCTCCTCATCCCCTTATTTACTTATTTTTTTATTTTTTTATTTTTTTATTTCTGATTTCCTTTTTATTTTTTGAAATTTCTTTTTATTTGCGGCATCTTGAAACCTAGTGTGCTCATCGTGGTCTCCCCTTTCCCCTTGGCACATTCTTGACCCCATGGGGGGTAGGGAAATTTTGCTGAAAATTTCAAAAAAATAATTATTATTTTTCTTTCACATTTTGTTTACTTATTCCCTTAATTATTTTTATTATTTATTTATTTCGTTATTTATTTTTATTTTTCTCTCGAATCTCGCTGTTTATTTATTTTTCTCCCGCCTTCCCCCCCCCTATGCTTGCTATTTTATTTTCTTGATTAGGTCACCGGCACCGTACCCTAACAACTCAAACTCCGGTTAGGGTTTTCTTAGGGTTTTTATAGGGTTTAGGGTTCTTCAACCCCCCCTTACTTCCCCGTCCTCTTCGGGCACCCTGGACCCGAACCACCCCTCCCCCTTTGACGGCGCCCGCGCCAGCCTTCCTAGCGCTGTCCGCCGCTTTCTACCGCGGACTTCCCCCTACGCCCTCCGCTCACGCGGACCTCTCCTGGCCCCCTCCAGTCCGGCCCGTCACCTCCCCATGGCCGACGGCGCGTCACCGAGTGGTGGACGGTGGTGACCGAGATGGAAGAGAGCTGGATCTGCTCCTGGTTGTGGTCAAGGCGCCGGGATAAGGCATCTGCGACCCGATTAGTCTCACCCTTGATGTGCTCAGTGGTGAAACTAAACTCGGATAGGTCGTGCCACCAGCGAGCCTGTCGAGGAGTGAGCTTCGGTTTTGTCAGAAAAGCCTGGACAACAGAGTTGTCTGTGCGCACCGTGAATGGTGCCCCGTGCAGGTAGTGACGCCAGTGCCGAGCGGCATAAACTACTGCGAGAACCTCACGTTCATCAGCAGTGTAGTTTATCTCGGCGGGCAGGAGCTGACGGGAGTAGAAGGCTATCGGACAATCACTTGAGCGAGACTCGATAGTGTCGTCCTCGGCAATGGTAGGAGAATAGGCAATAGAAGGCTCGTCAGTAGCTGGACCAGTAGGCGTCAGTCGGGAAGTAGTGGTAGGGGTAGGTGGTGGGAAGCGAGGGATACGAGGATGAGAGGAATCAGGAGAGGAGGGGAAGACCTGAGAAAGCACTGCTCCTACAACAAAGTCTGACGCATCGGTGGTAAGGATAAAAGGGTGATCAAAATTGGGTAGGTGAAGAACCAGTGCGCATGTCATTGCCTTCTTGAGGACGCGAAAGGCGTCCTCGTGGAAAGGTGTCCAAGCCCAGGGTGGGTTCTTCCGGAGGAGGGTGGATGTAAGGACGTAGGAATACCTAGCGTATCCCTGGATGAAATTACTATAGTAGCTGGTCAGGCCTAGGAAGCTGCAAAGCTGCTTGGCGGATGTGGGAGCGGGCCACTCCGCAATAGCAGTGATCTTCGCGTTGTCCATGTGGAGACCCTGGTCAGATACGTAGTGTCCTAAGAAATCCACTTTGTGCTGGGCAAAGCGGCACTTGCTCAACTTGGCGTAGAAGCCATGTCTGCGCAAGCGGTCAAGGACGTCACGCCATTGCCCTGACTATCGCGACATCCACGCAACCCTTCAGAGTGCCAAGACCGTCCCGAATTACTCTCTCGGGAACAACGGTCTTGTGTACTGGCACGGTTCACAAGGCACCAGAGAGCCCCGTATTTGCATTCCCTCCACTGGACAGCTACGTGTCCGAGCAGTAGCAGAGTTCCATGACCAGGCAGCCACCGGTCATATGGGCTTCCACAAGACGTTGGCTCGTGTGAGCCGCCTGTACGTCTGGCCGAAGCGCAAGGACTTTGTGAAGGACTACGTCGCAGAGTGTCCCACCTGTCAGGAGGTGAACAGTGCGAACCACTTGCCTTATGGTTTGCTCCAGCCTCTTCCTATCCCTGAGGGTCGTTGGCA